TCTCACAATCATCTGAACCTTTTCTCCAAATACAGATTATTATATCTCTGTCACTGTTGGATGCGATCGTTCGGCCACTGCGTTTTTCTTCGTAGCCCTGTTACATCTGTTGGGAACAAGTTACTTGACATTTTCCTCTAAAAAATAACGTCGTCCAATATATGACGTCATCAAATTGCGAGCGAATATTCTAATCACTAGAAATGACGTCATGATAGAACAGTGTTTAAACGTAAAATAAACCACACTTCGTTCTTCATTGTTCTTTGCGTAGCTATCTTATATATTGAACTTCATAATATCATTTCGCAAGTGTTACCACCTATTTATTTGAGGGTGTGTGAGATAAACTGTGATTTGAACATTATTCCAATTATATTGTGGCGTGTCAGCTTAATGCGAGAGGAAAACTTTGGTGAAATCCTCAAGCATGGGTATGGTATCAGCAAACCAAGACTAATAAGCAGGATGATTCTCTGGTTGTGACCCCTGATCATCGGATTCTGTAACAACCATGGGAAGTAACTCTGCACAGCGAATTTAAACGCCTTCGGCCCATGTCCCTGGTTAGTATTAACGCCTCTCTGTGATATAGTTTTTAACAATAATTATGAACAAACATTATTATAGCGAGAAGGCGGGGAGTAAATGCATTTGGCCACGCTTGACACGTATATGTAATACGATATCTATCTGGTTAAGTTCACAGTTCATGGCACCAATTGGCAATAATGAAGAAACAGTTTCTTCTACATTGGAACTTGCCGAGATGCTAGCTGGTCATATTGACGTCAATAATGATACGTTGTGACGTTAAACAGAACGTCATTGGTAGAATTTGCCTTACATGTACGTTAACAATACACTGTCTCAGGCTCGTTAGTTTCATCACAGATGTAAACAGCTCTGCCAAGAATGGCGGGTGATGTCCTTCCAAAATAGGATGACACGCCATGATAAATTATTTGATATGATATATAGAAAACAAGTTCTTTAAAGGGCGTTAAACCCGACTCACTCACTCTCACAGTTATGAGATAAAATTTAAGATGACTTTGATTGTTTCAGCGTGTTCGATGATACTAGTATATGAATTTGCGTTTAGCTTCATCGGTATAGTAATCATGTTTGTGCCTAATCAAATATGAAATATGAACACTCGTTGAAATATACCAGTGTAAATAATTGACCCATTCTGACGAAAACCCACAAATAATTACATCAAAGATAACACGACTCTCAAAGTAATGATTGGACGCAGACGTAGCAGCCTGGCGCCTTGGGTGCTTACGTTGCAGTTCCTATCTGACGCCTCCCTTAATCAAGAAATATAAACTCCTTAACATATTGCAAAAAAATGTTATGGTTTCTAAATGAAATATGGTCCTGGTTAATTTCAACGAATAAAAAATGCTCCATAGAAACGTTTGTAAGTGGAACCGTTTTAGAACATTAAAATTCTTAAAGAAAAACGAGTTATCTTTGGGAGGTATTAATCTCTCAAAAATATATCGATGAGGATAAGGCCATTTATCAGCGAATTTCCCATGTGGGGCGTATTCATGAACGAGTTTCTAGGCGAATGAAACCATGAGAGGAATTTATTCGTTTGAGACTGTGTGAGGTCGGGCAGAATGGAGGCCAATTTGTCATGGGACATCGGGGTTTTATGTTTCTAAGCCCAATCAGCTGCAGGACCACTTAGGGCCTTAGTGAGAACACAAAGTTCTTTGAAGCATACAGCGTTGAGGACGGTGATAAACATTCTTAATATTTCGTAAAGTGCGTATTTTATTGAAGATCAAATTGGAAATAATTTACTAATTTGTAATTATTTGTTTAATCTGTTCAACACTGAACCATAATTCCGTGCTGAGTGATAAAACTCGTGTGATAAACCAGTGATAAAAGCCTTTGTAATTTGTCTGATGATATAAATGCTAATCCACAATGATAGCTATTCAGTTTATGTCTAAGACATGAACATCGTTACCAAACGTACAAGTATCAGCTCAGATAGCTTCTGGTGAGCTATTGGATTCAAATTAATCAGATATTCTCAGATTCAAGTTATTGAGTTGAATTGAGACTGAGCAAGAAACTATATTCATCATAAAACTATTCATCGACCCTCTGTAAAAAAAAGTAATCTTTTGATACATGTATTTCTCATTTGCATTGCATTTCGTATAAACTGACCAGACTAGATTCCATGACTTAGCTGATGTGTGTAATCGTACCCCGACCTCGTGAGACAAATGTTCATAATATCAATCACTGGTTTGTCTAATCTAGACTTGATTAGTTACAGGCCACTGTCATATAATTTTGTTAATCAACAAACGAAACAAACAACATAATGATGAGACCTGTCAACTAAAAACATATCCGTCAAAGAGATGACTGACTCGAAATTCAGGTTCAAACATTATATTCAAACTAATTCTTAAACAATTCAAAGAGGCGTTAAATCAAACTCACTCACTTACTCACTCACTCACTCACTCACTCACAGAACGTCGGTTATCTTAAAGTTCATCTGTGGTCACTTGCACTTCGTATAAGAGGAGGATTAATTGTGTTTAAGAATGAAGATCCAACTTTATTATCTTGTTATGCCCTCTACAGTGCAGTGCTCTAAGTGCAAACATAACATTAATGAACCGCATTGTTAATTTCGAAATACAACAATGTCGTTAATCTGGAAGCAAGTCTCGCGATGGACAAACTTAGCAAATATCTTTTAATATAAAAAAATATAAGCAATTTTCAGCAGTAAGTTCAAAAATGTTTTATTCTACATGACTGCATGAGCATGATAATGACATACAGCATAATCACATGATATCGTGACATAACGATGTAACATAGTTTTCACCCTTTCACATCAACAGTAAAACGCATCACGTGCACACTGTTTGCGTACATCGTATCTACATGACAGCGACACCTTTTTTCTAGTATCCATCTGTCAAACGTAAAATGGAAACATCAGACTTCTGTTTCTTCAAACATTAACATAGTAATAACATGGATGACTGTGTGAAAGAAAGAAAGCTTAAGGTGTTTTGAATTCTCCTGTAAAAGGACGTTATATTTACATATCTATAGATAAGGTTGGTAAAATTCTAACTTTCCCCCAAATGACCATAAACCAGGCCAGTATTATGACAACAATCAACATCTTCATTTCAGAAAACATGTTATGTTTATCACGAAATCGTTTCAAACAAAATGACCAAACACGAGATCTTTAATGCTTAGTATCTACTTTGATATCTAAACGTTATTAAGACAATATCGATGGAAGTTCTGGAACAAATTGAACTCGACAATGGAACCAAATATGCATGTTTCATGATGTTATTTGAACACAAACAGTTAAACTGTCATGAAGAATATTTCTGGAATTATCAACTGGATAGTGTGTGTCTGAATTAGGTAACCGGTAAATTATATTCTCGTTGTATAAATTGACATTTCTCTTAATTGCAAGTTCGCTGTTCCCAATAACGTTTCGTATGTACATTATAGTAATATTGTCCAACGTAGTCTTATATTAGCATTATGTTCAAAAATCATTCGTCCAACCATTTCAGTTTCTGAACAGTAATAATCAGTGTCTTGAGTGTGAAAAGTACACCAAACCAGTTCCAGTGGCAGAAAGATTAGTCATGTAATTCATTGTGTCGTCATGGTAACTGATGACGTAAAAATGGTCTGCAAAGCATTGTGGTGCAAGTTCATTGTCGCACTATCTCCTCGAAGATATTGCTTCATTTCACCCAAGTCTATCTCCTGTGGAAGCCAGGTTTGGATGACAAATACAAATAATAGCATAGCGTACATGAAGCGCTAAGCAAACATACATGTTACCATCATTTTTGACATGATCATCTCAGAGTCAATATAATATTGCCATGTCCTTAGACAGCAATCATCTACATCAATGTATGTGATTGACTGTCACATCCTCTTGATCCATTTGATAACAGACAGTGAAATGTAATCACAGCAATTTATAGCGAACTTATACATGCAATGATTATAAGTACGATGCAGTAACTCTCATGGTCACACTCACGTATATACAAACATATACATGCAATTTAAATATACAGTGCCAACTATTTAGATGTCAACAAAGATATGTACAAAGCTTTACAAGACATATCAAGCTAAGATAATATCGCAATTTACCAACTTAAATAAGTCTGAATAGATTACAATCACCTTATAATACTAAACTGACGTAGCTTATCCTTTGTACAGTATGTATATATAAACAGTTCATCTCGGAGGATTGCCTTGAAGCGGTAACAACAATTTGAGATATACGCTGCAATGAAAATAATCATATTTGAAATTTTTATTTTCAAATAAAGTAAACATAGAAATAAATAAAAGTCTGAGAACGGTCCATCCATGAATTGTGACGTGCCGATTTCTTTCATGGCCACGTAACACCTTGTGCCATCAAGCTATAGATCAAAATTCCCTATTCATACTCGTATACCTGTCACAGTTAATAATTATCTTGTTGTGATTACACCAGTAGTTAGCGAATCAACTGAGCTTGTCTCTACAATCTGACAACAGTGCATCAATGTATACTTTTTAAACCAACACGAGATTCCCAAATGAGACAGCAGTTGACAGCACAGCAATTGAAATTCCTAAAAGAGTTAATCATCATGATACTGGGCGTACGGTCTGATATGTGTGAAGAAGAAAGAATAATTGTTCTAAATGTCGCAGTTTGGTTTAACTTCCGCCATGAAATATGTAACCAAAGTTGTCCAGTATTACTGAACCCTAAATTGTTCTCTGCTTCTTGTCCATCACTACAGACCCGTGAAGATCCGGGGTAGAATAGGTCTTCAGCAACCCATGCTTGCCGTAAAAGGTGACTATGCTTGTCGTAAGAAGCGACTAACGGGATCGGGTGGTCAGGCTCGCTACGTTGGTTGATGCATGTCATCGTATCCCAATTGCGTGGATTGATGTTCATGACATCAATCACTGGATTGTCTGGTCCAGACTCGATTATTTACAGACCGCCGTCATATAGCTGGAATACTGCTGAGTGCGGTGTTAAACATCAAACCAACCAACCAATCCATCACTACAAGCAGTAGCAAATGAGCGCTAAGAGATAATGTACACTATTGACGACAAGCATCTATATCTGACACAATATGCATGGTTAATATACATCTTTGTTGGTACTACGTGCCCTAAACACAACCATGTCATAAAGTATATAAGTATATGAACAGCTGAGCAAGATGATTGGCTTCTTGGCTTCAGTTTATGGAATTAACGTATTTGGCAATATCTCGTCGTGGTGTTTGACATAAAATCCTTACGCAAACGTTGAATGTATATCCAGGCATATGAAGTCACATTGCAATTGTTCTTTGGTGTATTCGTGGTATGGCCTTTTGATTTGTCACCACCGATATTATTTCATATTTCACACAGGCTTCATTCCACGTTTCCCATTTGTCTATAGCATATCCACATATTGAGCCATAGTGTGTGGACATTCATGGAATAGTTGATTATGGTCACCGTGAGCTATTGTGTTGGAGAAATACATCTACATGAGTTCTTCTGGTTGTAGTCATCCTGGAATGCTCAACCTGTCTTCGAAAACAGTATCAGTTTCATAAAATTGTTTGATACAACCAACTTCGCACTAAGACATTGACCTTGTTCTTGGTTTATAAGAACATGTGTACACGTGTTATTACACAAACCTTTCCTGTTGCACACCAAATGTTGGGTAAGCCAATGATATAAAGACCCTCTTTAATTTAATAACTGGATCTCTGGATTGTTCATCTAACTTGAAGAACACACACTGACATGTCTTGTTTAGGAAAACTCTTTCTCCTTTATAACAGTTTTCATTTTACACATCTGTAATAAATCATAATTGCACAGTAGGTGATACATGTTCTGTGATTCCGTGCCAACGTTCTGTTTCCTGCTCCTTGTTGTCGATGGTATCACTTTGAACCCAGGATCAACAGGGTTAGCATTAAAGCTCTTTTCCTTCCTTGCATAGCACATACCCCACACGACGTAGAAACAGTTAGCTATGAAACCACACAAATAATAATCCATATAAAACTACACTGGTTGAGCAAATATTCCTATGTGCCTGTCCTTGGACTGTTTTAGACTGTATTGGTCCACCAGGTGCACCTACAAGAGAAAAACAGGTAAGGTCGTAATAGATAATAACCCTTGCCAAACCAGGTTGTTCGACTCCAAACTTACAAACACGTGGATGCAGATAGTACGTATATACAACCCTAGATCTGTTGCTTAATTTCCCGGATCCATTATCCTGGGTTCGAATCCAAGATTATTATCTTTGACGCATCAGTGTCAAAGCCGTTCTGGTACGTTTAACTAAAGTGGTTATTGCGTCAATGCGCCATATTTTCACCCAAAGATTACACTGACCATCGGGTTACTTACTCTCCACACAAATGACGTCAACAAAATGGTAAACAAACGAGCGAGTGAGTGAGTAGGTTTAACGTGAAAATCCACGAACACGGGTATGGTGCTGACAAACCTAGAAACATAATTGGGGCGAACCGGGATTCGAACCCACAATCATAGGCTTCTGGCGTGCCCAAGGGACGCACCTCTGCACAGCGAATCGCGGTGCTTTAGACGACTGGGCCACCCATGCCCCCAGTAAACCAACGAATGCACATGCAGTATCAAATAATCGGCAACAGGTGATTCCTCTTTTACTCTGGTATCAGTGCGAATAACGTGCAAATATCCTATATAATCATTGTGTTCAACCATGGAAAAAAATGGTATCTATATATATGTTGTATACATACACACAGGCAACAGACTGCCCGTACACAGGGTCGCCATATTTTTGTTGATAGTGTTGTAGGCTTTAAGAGAGTTACCCGGAACTAACTGTGGCCTCTGACCTGGCCTCGGTGTGGGTTTCCTGGTGACTATGTTGACCAATGTACCTCCCGGTCTTCCATCCTGGCGATTAGGGGGGTTCCGGCTTGCGTGTGGGTTCCACGTTATAATTGGAATGGTTGTCGTTGTGGATGAAGCAGGGGGTGACGTAGTTGGAATTATTGATGTAGTCGCTGCTGTCGTTTTTCGGTTTGCAGAGTAATCTGATAAATGAACGAACGTGTATAAAACCTGTACTTCACTCTCAAACCTATTCTAAATTATCATAAACATTTGGAATGTTAACAAGGTTAGAAATTATTAACTGTTATGGGAAGCACAGTACATTAGGGACCGACCATTTGTTATTATAGGGGTGACCTGACATAATGTTAAAAATAATTTGTTTCAGAAAATAATAGAAAAATATATTGTTGCCTCAGGTTTGTCAAAAAAAATATTGTTCGCTACAAATTGCGTGAACTTGCGAAAAGTATGAAATTGTTCGACTCCCCCTTTCAGAAAAAATCCGCACTTTTCAAAATATTTAATTATGTAAAATTATTATGTAGTCTATGTTGAATAAAAAAAAAAAATTTCATTCCATTAAAATAATAATAAAAGCGACATTATAAAAACTCCTACCCATAATCATAAGAAACCGTTGTACGATTTCGCTATCAGTTAGTGATGATACAAGGTGTACGAGAAAAAAATGCCCCACCGGTGACCCCATCACAAATACATGCAAAGACAAGTCAAGTGTTTTTTTGAACAAACACGAGAACATATGTTGTTATGGTACAAGTTAAAATATAGAAGTATAGAAATAGTCAGTGTTGCGTCAAATTTAGAAATGAGCTCCACATGTCTACCATACAACTTTTCGAAAGGTTTACAAAGGCATTGAATGATGTAACAATGATCAAACAACTTTTGAGCAAGAGTCGTATGACGCTCTTTGAAATCTTTGTAAAAATCAGGTTTGAGCAACTGGAATATTCCTCGACATATAGGGAAAGTTCATCTCTCTTGTCATACATTCTTGTGGATGGGTGATTGCCACTGCCAGTGAATGAACTAACTACTGAGTTCACTACATTACGGAATAACCTCTTGTTTTCTTAAGGATGCATATACAGTTTCATACCGAAACATGCTTTCCCTTACAGCAGTTCTGTTATTTATGTATATATTATATATCTTATTGTATATAATTATTATATATTTTTATTATTTATTTAGTTGTACATAGCATGACTGCAGAGCTTGTCCTTAATAAAAAAAATATTTCGAAGCTTGTCAACTGTCATTGTCTACAACTACACTACTAAACCGTCCTCATATGTAAAACTCACCATATAAAATCATATTCTCATATGTAAAACTCACCATATAAAATCATATTCTCATATGTAAAACTCACAATATAAAATCATATTCTCATGTGTAAAACTCACCATATAAAATCATATTCTCATATGTAAAACTCACCATATAAAATCATATTCTCATATGTAAAACTCACCATATAAAATCATATTCTCATATGTAAAACTCACCATATAAAATCATATTCTCATATGTAAAACTCACCATATAAAATCATATTCTCATATGTAAAACTCACCATATAAAATCATATTCTCAGCGTCCTTCCCTACAGAGTTGGAAGACATACATGTGTAACTGCCAAAGTCTGTTTCCTCCAGGTTCCTGATCCGCAGACTGAGGGTCATGGTGTGTTCCCCTTCGTGATATATCTCCACCCTGTACTTGCCACCGTTAGAAATCACCGACCCCTTCCTCATCCAGACACTGATCTCCTGGGGATAGGCAGAGATTTTGCACTCCAGTATTGTCTCTCGACCTAGGTCATGACCAATCCGTTTGTTTGGAAGACGTACCTCGGGCGGAACTGTTTGAAAACAATGATGTGATGTGATAGTATTAAAATAAACACAAATACACGACACTTGTATGAACAGTTAAAACCACTGCAAAGTTGATAGTGTTAAAACAGGCAAAGCTGTGGTTAATGAGAAAAAATGCGTTGCCACCCATCACGTTATCAAAGTAAAACGACTTAATACACATATCAGACTTAATATTATAGACCTACTACCTTAATAATACCTTAATCAAAATTATAGAGGTGACCCAAAATGTTACGAATGTAGTTTTTAAGATGTAGTCATATTGAAACTTAGTTTATTTCGTACCTTATGACAGTTTGACCCTGTATACAATTATACCTCTATGCGTGTCTAAATACTACCCAGCACTGACAGTTCTGCCCTGATAGTTTTAACTAAAGTCTTAACTTAAGGTCATTGATAAACTGAAGGGCAGATGTATTATTTTGCAAAAAGTATTCATCACTATTTGGAATAAGGTCATTGATAAACTGAAGGGCAGATGTATTATTTTGCAAAAAGTATTCATCACTATTTGGAATAAGGTCATTGATAAACTGAAGGGCAGATGTATTATTTTGCAAAAAGGATTCATCACTATTTGGAATAAGGTCATTGATAAACTAAAGGGCAGATGTATTATTTTGCAAAAAGTATTCATCACTATTTGGAATAAGGTCATTGATAAACTGAAGGCAGATGTATTATTTTGCAAAAAGTATTCATCACTATTTGGAAAATCATAAATATTCATATATATAACTTTCTGGGTTCATTTTTAAAAAACTTACATTCAACCGAAATCCGTATCAATCTGTTCACGGCTGGGGGCACCCCGTTGAAGGCGACGCATTCATAGGTACCACCGCAGTAACGACTGACGTTGTGGATGAGGAGCACCTCACCGCTGATGCCGATCTCTAAAATACAGTTAATCATGTCATATCGATCTTCAACGCGACAACAGTAAAACATGTCATATCGAACATTGCCCGGTATGTGCTTTCTGTGTTCATATAAGGTTTATGCCAGTCACTGCAATTTACGACTACATACCATGATAAGAGATTATATCCTTTTTTAACTGGATATCAATTTTACAAAAAACATGGCGTATCAAGTGACTTGCTATTATGTTTCCTCATGGTTTCTTTTTGCTCTTAAAGGAGAAAAATCAGTTGTTTTATTTCCTTTCATAATGCAGATATATTGTAATGGCCTTTTAACATGAGAAGTCAGCCTACGGTACACGAATATGCATGATCAAAGTGTCATCAAGTGTTCATTCAGAGGCTTGTGTCAGAACAAAGTTTTCAAAGAGTAAGAAGGGACACAAATAAACCAAATGTATGCATAAACTCAATCAATGTATGCATGAATTCGTATGCATGAAGTAAATAGAATTAAAAGTCATATCCAAGACCAGTAAGAACGTATTTCAACCATGCGTAAGAAATCCAGTTCATGCTCTTACATTCATGCTGGAAACTTAAATTAAAATACTTCAAATCAAATTATTAAAGTCAATCAATTTTAGATTTATCCAGAAACGTCCATTCCCATTCCGTAAATAACACCAGTATTGTTCCGTGCAACTGGAACTATGTGTAACTATTAATTTATTCACATGTAAAGAAATGAATCATACATTTAAAACAAGGTGTTTATAGATGCATTTTACCTTTAACAAATGTAGGATATAATCGGGAATATTCATTGATAAATTGATCAACGTGTAAATGCAGCAACATTTCCAACTCTGCTGATTGGTCGAATAACCTCACTCCATCTTCAGCGGTCTGTCTTTTTCTTTCTGCTGTTGCATTATTCTTATACATGCATGCTACATGCATGACTTATTAATGATTGCCATGATTCGATGTTCTTATGGCGATTTTGTGTTTGAAAAAGGTTATTTAAAATTTCACCTTTTTCTGCGCTATAGCACAATCCCTACGGCTTGAAGTTATTTCTAAGAGATGAAACGAAATTATGCAGTTTCCATGGTACTGCTTGAGGCACATGCCGAGCTGTACATGGTATTTACAATGCCATTCCAAAATATCATGAGTTGAGTGTCTACATGAATATTGTATATAATGCACATGCACCTTGAACGCTTTGATTAGCTGCAGCTCAGACATGAAAGTAGCATCATCATACAAGAGCATGTATTATATATTTAGACTGAAATACACTAAACAGAAACATCATCGGAATGCGCTGCCATGGTCTCAGTGGCACGAACCCTGAAGTGTTTTTTTAACTTCTCGCGATCGTGAGTACCTTCGGTTTAGTCAATTGGCGCGTTTGTAAACTGGCCTGTTAGTGTTTCAACTATCCTGTCAGCTACCAGCGATTGGGTGGGTTTTATTTTATGTACACATGAGTGTTTATTTTACTCTGGTGGTGAGTACAGTAAAGGACCTGAACACTAGGTATAATAAGCACAGAATAGCACCTGACAGTAAAGGACCTAAACACTAGGTATAATAAGCATAGAATAGCACCTCAAAGTAAAGGACCTGAACACTAGATCTAATAGGCAGAGTATAGCACCTCACAGTATAGCATCTGAACACTAGGTTTAATAAGCACAGTTTAGCACCCCACAGTAAAGGACCTGAACACTAGATATGATAAGCACAGTATAGCACCTCACTGTAAAGGACCTGAACACTAGGTATTATAAGCACAGTTCAGCACCTCACAGTAAAGGACCTGAACATTAGGTATAATAAGCACAGTATAGCACCTCACAGTAAAGGACCTGACGCTAGGTATAATAAGCACAGTTCAGCACCTCACAGTAAAGGACCTGAACACAAGGTATAATAAGCACAGTATAGCACCTCACAGTAAAGGACCTGAACACTAGGTATAATAAGCACAGTTCAGCACCTCACAGTAAAGGACCTGAACACAAGGTATAATAAGCACAGTATAGCACCTCACAGTAAAGGACCTGCATGTTCGGGATGGTGGCTGAGTATCTGACCTATACACCAGTGGCAGTGAGGACAATACAATGTCTGAACCCTAGGGATGTCGGGTGATCTATGGGACCTGCACACTACGGGTGGTGATTACAGTAAAAGGCCTGCACCCTTGGGGTGGTAATTACAGTATAAGGCCTGCACCCTAGGGGTGATGGGTGATGCATAGGACCTGCACACTACGGGTGGTGATTACAGTATAAGGCCTGAAACCTAGGGGTGGTGATTACAGTATAAGGCCTGAAACCTAGGGGTGGTGATTACAGTATAAGGCCTGCACCCTAGGGGTGAAGGATGATGCATAGGACCTGCACACTACGGGTGGTGATTACAGTATAAGGCCTGAAACCTAGGGGTGGTGATTACAGTATAAGGCCTGAAACCTAGGGGTGGTGATTACAGTATAAGGCCTGAAACCTAGGGGTGGTGATTACAGTATAAGGCCTGAAACCTAGGGGTGGTGATTACAGTATAAGGCCTGCACCCTAGGGGTGAAGGATGATGCATAGGACCTGCACACTACGGGTGGTGATTACAGTATAAGGCCTGAAACCTAGGGGTGATGAATACAGTATAAGGCCTGAAACCTAGGGGCGATGGGTGATGCATAGGACCTGCACAATAGAGGTGGTGATTACAGTATAAGGCCTGAAACCTAGGGGTGATAGGTGATGCATAGGACCTGTACAAAAGAGGTGGTGAGGACAGTAGAGGGCCTGCACCCAAGAGTGGTGGGTGCTATACAGTACTTGCATCTTAGGGGTGGTGAGTTTAGTATGGGACCTGCACACAGGGGTTGTGGGCACCAGTATAGGGCCTGCACACAAGGTTTAGTTGGCACCAGTATAAGGCCTGCACACAAGGTTTATTTGGCACCAGTTTAGGGCCTGCACACAAGGGTTGTGGGCACCAGTATAAGGCCTGCACACAAGGTTTATTTGGCACCAGTATAGGGCCTGCACACAAGGTTTATTTGGCACCAGTATAGGGCCTGCACACAAGGTTTATTTGGCACCAGTATAAGGCCTGCACACAAGGTTTATTTGGCACCAGTATAGGGCCTGCACACACGGGTTGTGGCCACCAGTATAGGGCCTGCACACAAGGGTTGTGGGCACCAGTATAGGGCCTGCACACAAGGGTTGTGGGCACCAGTATAGGGCCTGCACACAAGGGTTGTGGGCATCAGTATAGGGCCTGTACACAATGTTTAGTTGGCACCAGTATAAGGCCTAAACACAAGGGCTGTGGTCCCTACACATTCGTGATGAAATCCATAGGCTATCAGGTTTGATATTTTGTTTTTATCAATTACGAGATGATGTGACACATTAATTCATTTATATTTGGGAAAGGAAATATTTCAAATGTAAAAGATAAATTTTTAATGGAAAAACTGCAAACTGGGTAAAAATACTGTTTACCTATCTTAGGATATTACAGGTTTCAAACAAAGAATAAGTATACAAATGAGCACCAATTCCAATTAACAAGCCTACCAAGTAACGTCTAGACCAAACTCGTCCACCACCATCCTGGTCACCCAGTTCTCACTTACAGTGGAAATCATTATATTCAGCATTGTCGCCTAATCTTGTGGATGATGGACATAGATCCTTATTAAATCCACAAAGAAATAAAGTGGTTTACTTTGCTGCTATGGAAAGTGACAAGTGATCCGACTGAAGAATACAATTTCCTCCACCCCTGACTGTGTCGATGTCCCATATGTCCCCCTGACGTGATCTTTACGGCCAGATTGACGCCAGACAGACTCCGAGGTTTTATTAAACCAACTGTAGTCCTTAAACACACTTTAATTTCCTTCGTTCAGTGTTCGCTTAATTTCCTGACTTTGATTTCGCTGTCAAGTCCAAACTATGCTAAAAGTAAAGTTCAAAGGAGACTGTCAAATACCACAGAGCATTTCCTCCATGTAGCCCGAATTAATGGCTTGGATATTTCATCATTTTTCTTTTCCTGTCGTTCCGTATTTATACCTGAAAGGAAATAGCTATCTTTTCGTGTCAAAGTAGCCTCGTTGGAACAGTTATTTCTCAGAAGGTATCTTAACGTAGTACATAGACAGTCGCTGGGCTGTATTTATTACACAGCGGCTATATATAAATAGATGCGCCTTCCCGATACTAGTAACGGGTTTAATGTCATTTCGGAGAACACAACCCCCTTTCCTTGAATTGCCAGGCACGTATATTACCCTATGTCACGACGCAACTTTCCTTCTTTTCTCGATAGGGTTTCGTATATAGGCCCAAAATTCTACTCTTCTTACATTTGATAATATGCATCCAAATGTGTGTAATGGTTTGCGATGGTTTGTCTGATACTGCAAGTTACTGAAACTTCATAACGTATATGGAAGCGATGCTGCGAAAATAAACAATTTTAGAAATTTTAATAATGTCAAGATTACATTACGACGTTTATTCATATACCTCTTCAAATGTCAAGAAAGTCTTAATTCAAATGTGCAATGACAATATTTGCACATATGTGATAATTAAGTAATAACGGAGGTCAGGTTTTCTCAAGGTCGTAGAGCTTGATGTATAACTGGAAGAGGTATCAGATGTTTCATTGGTATTACGATAATTAAAGAACCAAAATTACGACTCTTGTTATTGCAAATCAAATATCTTACCATTCCCGAAGTCTAACTTCGAAACAGTATAACCGCTTTCACCAATATCCTACACATATCACGTCAAAGGAGACCAAAACTTGACTGTAACCATGTGGGGATCAAACTGGGTCTTCGGTGTGAAGAGCGAACACTTGAACCACTGTGCTACTACACCGCCCCCTGTAGTTGTTTGTTTGTTTGTTGTTTTACGCCGCACTCAGCAATATTCCAGCTATATTACGGCGGTCTGAAAAATAATCGAGTCTGGACCAGACAATCCAGTGACTGACATCATGAGCATCGATCAACGCAATTGGGATACTTTGACATGCATCAACCAAGTCAGCGAGCCTGACCACCCGATCCCGATAGTCGCCTCTTACGACAAGCATAGTCGCCTTTTACGGCAAGCATTGGTTGCTGAAGACCTATTTTACCTCGGATCTTAACGGGTCTTGTAATAAAGGCAGTCAACCCCAAACGTATTGTGCAGAGAAGAATATTGATATAATTGTTGTATACAAGTCAACTTTTGATAGAGATAAAAAGGTATATATTTACCGTCGCAACACTTAGAAGACGACCCCGTTAATCCGAACGGTACAGATTCAAGTGAATACTTCCGAACGAATTAATAAATTTTCTGACTAACGAATCCTTGCATATATTCATACGTCCCTAGCAGTAATCGTCCGAATCACGGGGTTTCCAAATTACTTCGGGCTTATTGTATAATTTATGCATAAGAGTATATGTTTAACCATTTTACTCATGCACACTGACCCTACGTACGGTAGGTGTCATGGCTTAAATAGTGACAGCGTTCAAAACAGTTACATGGATGGTTACCATAGTTATCTTATATATATATATATATATATATATAGATTTTATAATAATTATGATACCATATAGTACCATATAGATACCATATAGTCTCGTGAGTTGCAAATACACCTGATTACTTCGGGATTCACATAAAATCAACATGCAAACAAAACCAAATATATCTTACTATTCGTGCCTGGGCAGAACTCACTGTCTTTAATAACATCGTCATCGGTTGGTTTATGTCTGTACCACGTGACGGTTGGCATGGGAATCCCTGTGACGTTGCATATGAGCGTCACCGTCTCGCCTTCTCGTACAGCCATGTCCTCAGAAGATAGCTCAGGTAAAATCTTTGCTGGAACTGAAAGCAAAATACATGAAATAATTTTAAAATGATCAAGGGAATATCTGAGAGAACATCGGATCTGCTGCGTTTTATTGTTCATGTCATCCTTAGACGAAATCGATACTTCCAAGGTTATGACATAGTGATGTCTGTTAAACTTTATCTCCTAAGAACAAAAGAAGTATGCAAAACAAGAGAGTAAACATGTTATTAAAGCCATTCATCTTAACTTAACATACGTAAAACATTTACCATGGGTTTTTTTTCAAAATAATCGCTGTACCTTGTTTAATATATACCGGTTTGAGTAACATGAATAAAAACGTGTACATATTTGAGTAAGAAAACCATACATTTTCCATATAAACACATGTATTATGTATTTGAGTGACAGCTTTCTGAGGTTGTCTATGCATGTTTGGGCTTCGAAAGTATTTGCTCTAGTTAGTAATTACATATCAAATAAATTCGGTTTCTTCAGTTTTCAAGATGGTATTAAGAAATTTCATAGTAACTACTTCGAAATCTTCCTAACATTTTTATTTCATTATTTGAAATGAGGTGTGTCAGCAGAGCGCTTGTTTTTTAGTTTCAGGTGCTTCAACAGCTGAACAACTACATTAGTTCGTTTATTTATCAGCTGATCAGCTGAATAGTGAAGGGTCACGACTTTCATGGTTTTATTTATATTTCTGATACTTAAAAACTTTTTAAGCGCCCCAAGGATGTATTCACACTATGTTCCATAAACAAATTTGAATGGCATTATTTATACTTTTTAACAAAGTTATTTCGGTGGAGAAATTTCAATAAAATATTATTACACAAATGCAAGTACTTTCATGGTTATTTCAACAATTTCAATATTATGGGCCATTCCGTTTCTTCCAATAGCGATATGTACAGGACATTGGCTCCGTTAGCCGGCACGATTGATCTTGGGTGAGAATTGGCGCCCCAAGGTAATTTCATTCCATATGCTGTCACTAACTAAATATGACAAATATTGGTAAGGGGCTCACGGGTTTCGCTCCTTCGTCACAATAAACGTGAAATATGCTGATACCATTTCCCCCGGGTCAGTCCAGGATCCCCAGTCTTAGTTAGATATAGAACATAACGTTCCCCTGCATGACTAGGAACACAATTCGATATTTTCCGGAAATGCTACATTTAATGTAATCAAGGATGTTGATCTCTTGGGAGAGCACTTTGAAAACGGGATCGATAGTAGGTAAATACCTCAGTATAATTGTGACTGAAAACGCACACTGAAAATCACAGTACTTTAAGATTTACTGTCATATTGTGTCACTTTGAATCAAAATCGTAATTATGGGTTTCAATAGCAACGTTTCACTGCAATTGAGATTATGGGTTGTCAGAAGAGTACAAACGCCAGTCCAGTCTTCATGCTTTGAACAGAAATGACTCATTGCGACAGGCTTCGTGATTGAAGTTAAAATTGAATGTGTACACATGTCTATAGCAAAAGTCTAAAATTACTGAGAACAACATCGATCACTTTAATCGGAAATATTCAACTTCAGATGTCCATCTAGATATATTTTATCATGTAAATACGTGTTTCATCGAGGTATATGATAGTGAAGTGGTCTTCGGGGAAAACGATGGTAAATATATGCTTTGGGAAGCCAAATGGAACATTTTGAGAAGATGTACACTCACAGATGTAAAGTGGCGTTATTCTGCCAGTGTCAAAACACAAAACATATGGGGTGAGTGAGTAAGTTGAGTTTAACGTCGCTATGAAAGCATTTCAGTTATCTCAGACGTGTCCGTTCAATCTCTTTAAAATCAGATCTTAGTTCTCGCTACCGTTAAACAAAGATCTGAGGACATCCCATTAGGGGTCACCTCAGAACGACCTTACACCCGACCAATCAGAGCGTCGCTTACCAGATCATGAAAGTAACAGTCGGAATGTAATTTCTAATCATGCAACCTCGAAAATTTTAACACGGGGTATTCAGAACGACAGTTACGGACTTAACGACTGAATATATACAATCTAGACTATCTCTAAACCATTCCAGGATGTTCTTTTGTTCAGGCTTCAAATTTGTAATCGAAAATTTGTCAAAATATGTTTTTTGAAATTAGTGCCGTTAAGCACGATAAAGCTGCCTTCTGATTGGCTAATGTCGACTTCTTGCCAGTCATTCCATTGGTCGGTTAAAGTTCGCGCAAGGTCGGTCTGACGTGACCCCTAATGTCCTCAGATCGTTGTTTAGCGGTAGCGAGAACTAAGATCTGATTTTAATCTGATTGCGTGTCCGTTTAATGTGGGATGAAAGCCCGACGTGATGTAGACGTGTGCCATTTTGGTGAAGCCCACAAGCATGTGTTGATTTTGATCATTCTCAAGAAATGCGTGAATATCAGGTACTGTTTAATAACTACGATTTGTATATCCGAAATCAAGTTTACTGCTGACAATTCTACTTCGAACACCTAACGAGTTTGTGGCCATATGTGTTTAAGTGTTCACCTAAGGCCTGCCTGTTGGTAATCGCAATAACAGACTTCTTGCCTGACATCCCCCGCAAAGAAACACAACCAAAACACCTTGGGAAATTAAAAAAAACACTTTACGGAGCTGTTTGGTGAGTCGTAAGGAAGTGTTTTCTGAAATACAACTTCGCCATTCACATATCGTTTGCAGCTTGATCGCTTTTCAAGCATAAAAGTGAGCACACTGAACCGTTGCTTCGAGGGAATATCAAAGGAGTATGAAAAAGATCATTCTTGTCTTGAAATAAGAAAGTTTGGGAATTCAACTAAGAACTATAAACAAAATGAAACAAATTGTAACGCGTTTCTGATTAAGCAAAACTGTGAACGACATTGGTTACAATGGTATGCAGGGGACAAACTGGAACGTGTAAGACGTCAAGGCAAAAGGTGATGTGAAGTGAAATGGGGTTTAACGTTGCGGGCAAGATTATTGCACTTATATCGCGACGTGTGTGTGTGTCTGTATGTGAGAGAGAGAGAGAGAGATAGAGTGTGTGTGTGTGTGTGTGTGTGTGTGTGTGTGTGTGTGTGTGTGTGTGTGTGTGTGTGTGTGTGTGGCTGCTTGTACTAGTCCGGACTGTTGCTGATTTATAGTGCTAGCTCACTGAGATACCATGCCGCAGTTTAACATGAATACCCCGCTCAAACACAGTATACCGACTCCGAACCGACCAGTCTTTGTTTTAGCCCCTTAATGCCAAGCGCCAGACAGCGTAACAACAATTACGCCACGGAGGCGGTCGCAACGCCAGAGAATATACAGCCTCGATTATCCGTCGAGAGAGATTGGACGTAAATGGCAAAATAGTGATCACACTTATATGAAAAAAGGTTAAGTGTGGACGCAGAGATTGTGATTTATTATCATTAATGTTTACTTTACCAGGAGTCCAAATCGAACAGAGGGATGGACCTGAAATCTGTCTCAACTAAATTCTTCCTGAATTCATTTCCCCGACACCAGATTCTTTTTTCCCAGATACTCAACACACTCTTCAAACATAAAGTTAGTATTCAGTGCCATCTGTTTCATATTAAAATCTATGCATGAAGATTCAGACTGACCAAAAAATATCCACAAGACTATATGGCAAAAGGGATGGCTTCAACTTTCCAATAGTAAACTTTCCCTTTATGGAGAACTGTATTCCTTCAGCTCCAGTCTTTGTTATCTACATGTTACAACTTTTGAGACACTATCGACCTAGCTCTTTCAAAGAAAAAACATAAAAGGCAAAATATTAGTATAATAGATCCCTGAAAATCAGTGATGACACCAGGTTTTCACGAAATGGTTAGCGTCTTCTCACCTACCAGTTGCCCCCGCCACTTACATTGTTCGTATAAACAATACGGTTGGCCCAGTCGTCTAAGGCGCCGCGATTCGCTGTGCAGAGTTGCGTTCCTTGGGCACGCCAGAAACCTATGATTGTGGGTTCGAATCCCGGTTCGCCCCAATTATGTTTCTAGGTTTGTGAGCACCACACCCGTGCTCGTGGGTTTCACCGAAGTGGTAAACGTCTGAGACTAGCATCACTTCGGGCTTTCCTCCCACATTAAGCTGACATGCCGTGATATAACTGTAATACTGTTAAAAGGGGCGTTAAACATAACTCAGTCACTCACTCACTCACTCACTCACTCAAAAGGGGGCAGGGTGTCCGTAACCCCCTTGGAATCCTGACCACCACCCCTAACCCCCACCCATCTTGATCATCCTATGTACATAGAAGAAAGTAAATGTCTGAAACTAGTACTGTATTAATAACCTACCTTACTCTACAACGTGTCTACTTTTTCATATTATCACATACAAGTATGTTGTAGATACTGTTCTGAAAAAGTCAAAAGCTTTACCCTTTCAGTCGCTATTAGATGTGAATATTTTTTTAGCTTAGTTATATACAAGAGCTCATGAAACCTTTTTCCTATTTGGATACAAGTAATCGGAAAGACGATAGGGAAATAAAACATCCAAGTAATGGATGGTTGTAGCTATTCCAAACAAACGTAATTACAAAGTCTTCGTCTGTATGTGTATGTCTTTATTGCAAAGTTATCTCATAAACGACCAATTATTTGTATGATTTCTCTCACCACACAGGTTAACCCTTGGCATTCCAACATTAAAACGCACCAATGTATGTAATATAGTTTGAGAATAAACCTTATCGCGTTATAATGTCCATAACACTCTACTAAAAGTATGGCTGGGAAACTATAATGCGAAAGAAATTGAAATTGGAGAATCACTGCCAATTACTGACGTTACTAGAATCAGTGTTAATCAAGCGAGACTTCACCATCTAAAACAACCACATAGCTGCTTATATTTCAGTATGAAAAAACACATTCAGTTCCTTTGATATTTTCTTTTTATGAAGTATTTTTTATAAGACTAAATGGCATGTTCTTGTGGAAATAGCTGTACCGGTTTTGAATTGCCATTCCTATCAAATTTCTAAAATATTTAGTTTCAGCTATTCACTTTACTGTCAAAGTGTGACTGAATGTTCAGTTCCTTTGTCCAAAGATCAGCGTTCTTTAATACAATCAATATCACAGCGTGTCATTTCGTAATACTAAGATTTGATTATTCCAATGTCTTAGATTGACAGAGAAAGTGGTTCCTTTATATCCAAGCTTTTATTGAGAAATGATTTTCAAATTCTAATCTTACATAGTGAAACAATTCTACCTTACCCAAACATCATCGAGATTTGATAAACACATGTATTGACATTTGATAATCAGCAAATTAACATTTCATAATCAGAAAAGCTATTTGTAATGAACTATTACAACTGAAGTACACCACATTTATAGGAAAGGTTTGGTGTCACTGTCAGTATTTCTGTCACTGGAGATTCTGACTCACTGATCAGTTCGATATTGCTGAACTTCAAGCCTTCTTATACACAAGACAGTTTCCTTAACTGTCAGGTTGGGTTAGACCAAGTCATTTACAAACTGCACGATATACTAGCACACTTTCATATATTCGTTACCTATTACGTTGAGGTTGATGGTTTTGATCTTGACAGGACTCGTGTTGATCTGGCAGCTGTATATTCCCTGATCTCGATATCTAACAGAACGGATATGAAGATTCCAGTCCTTCGTGTAGGGCCTTTCAATACTTAGACGCTCATCGTCGATGATGCGCCGGTCTTCAAACGTCAACAACGTCGACAGCTGATCAGTCCACACCACCTGTGCGGATTAGAGACAACGCCATTGGAACTCGTATAAGTAGGTGCCTTAATGAAACGTAAATTGAGCTACGAAAAATGTCAATAAATTGTTTAGCAAAACTGACTTGGGTTTGCACAGAAAATGTTGCATAGAACACCAACTAAAGTAAAAGCGAATGCAGCTAGACGTCTGTATGTTTTATGAATAAATCATATATGCAAGGTTGTTAAAGGTGAGGTGTGTTGAAATTGTGAATAAGGTCGCGTTGAACGTTACAGCACGTATATAGCGACGTGAATGGATGGCTGCTTCTACTACTCCAGACCAATGATGGTTTGATACTGCTAGCCCAATGAGATACCATGCCGCAGTTCAACATTGATTCCTCACTCAGACACATACTGAGTCCAGTCCTTGTTTCATCCTCCTAATACCGAGGGCCAGGCGGAGTAACAAAAAGTACCATCTTTTAACGTCCTTAACGTATTCCACGGCCCGGGGATCGGACATCTACGGTGGTGGTGTTATTAAAGGGGGGTTTCGCTCGGGCACAATGGCAGTCCCAGCAAATCTAATTCATGTCCCTAAAACACTCTTTACGACTCTGCCAACTCACATTCATGAAGCATGTGAACCATGAACATTGACCCTAATAACACAGAGGCGATGTCTCAATGGAAACATTAATTTTCAACGTCTAGAACAAGACTGGAATTAGACACCTTCAAACAGTGCAGTTATCTTTAACAACTTCCAACCAAGTGTTGCTGAAGTATACTTTACTGCTTCCTGTATGTATTTGCTTCACAATCACTATGTCAAACATTCATGGATTGAAAATGCGCAATTTTAAACTTCTCAATACTTTTAATGAGAACTTTGCGCTGAGCGTAAACATGCAATCGTACAAACCTGGCCTTCATTAGAACGTAATAAGAACATACAAAATACCTGTATGTTTCTTCAATGTAGCATATAGAAAACATTAAAAGGTGGTAAATTGTCATGAATCAAATATGTTATTGTCGTGGGAATAGAATAATTTATTCTAACTTCACCTTGTTTAATTGTTGTCATTTAATAAAGCACGTTCTGACCCCTCTTTCAGCATTGCAGACATCACCCGAGCTCATTTGATTTTATGCCTGATATGTCATTTTGAAATACATATAAATTTATTTAAAGTCTTGTAGATTGAGCGGTATATTGTCAATGCTTTAGGAGTTTCAGATACGCGTATGTGGAGTGTAGCTTGAGTAATGTCATCACAGACATTCAACTGAACACATAACCTTCACGTGGTCTTCTCGCTGTAACGTTATTCGTATTGATTTAGGGCTAAATGTCTCCTGTACATTAAAACGTTGTTCTGAGTTAGTGTTTCGTATGCGAGGGATAGTATTTCCGGATGAACCGGGAAAGGTTTTATGTTTCGAGCAATAAACCGGAAATAGTTCAATAAATAACACAAAAAGTCGCCAATACAAGGAGTGAGATGGACGTTAATTTGGTTAGATTAATCTCACTCGTTATAATGTGCATGTAACATGCATAAGCTGCAATCCAACAAGCTTAATACAACTATGAACTGGAGATATGTTCTGAGAATGAAGTGTTCAACGAGTGAAAATAAATGGAATATCTTTCAAGGCTGGGTTAAAGGCATTTGTCTTCAGTAGATATATCTCGCAAAGGTCGTGCTTGTTTTAAGGCAGTAATTTATCAACATAAATACGCGCACGGCTCTAATTGTTGCATCTCACAAGCGACAATGCCAGTTCAAGAGGTTTGCCATTTTATTAAGACATTAACCAATCGCAAAGAGTGATTTATTCCCCGCGTCTTAACCCCTAAGTCTAGCATTTATACCGACATTATCAATATCGTCAATTAGACCCGTGTTATCGATCGGCCAGATTAGGACAGGCTTAGCGTGCAACTAACTGTCCACCAAGAAATAAAACATGTCAGAGTCACTCCATGGGTCGCCGAATTTCCAATAATTTGCCCACCTTCCAATTGAGAAATCCCTCGCGCCCGTTTCAAAGTTGGGGAAAAACGCCAACGGAGTAGCATAAATTTCGGAATTAATCTGAATAACTCCCAGACGGCGGTAGGAAATTGGCAATTTCTTCATGTAGTATTGTCAATTCACGTTGCTTCTCTGTCATGCATGTTTTGTAAGTCCCTCGGTTTTCTCATGAAAGTTATTTCCTTTACGGGATTAAACTTGTAGAATGTTGAAACCTCGGCAAGCTAATATCATATGACGGTTCTGTACATCACACGACTTTTTCACGCATTTGCTTTATCGTTTGATATGCACGAATTCTCTGGTGCACTTGTATTAATCTATATGCGCCTTCCAAATCCGGACCTTTCACATCAGAATGGATGAAAAAGATTCGTGTTTTAAAGTTTTCAGAACGCGTACCGTTACTGGAAGATGATTACATTTTTCGATGTAGGATTAAAAACTGTGATCCTTGATTTTTAAATAATTTTCGAAATCATCCTTTTTGAAAAAAATCATTTGAAATAGTTTCACTCCATAAATCGATAGAACGAAATAGCACGAAATGCACGTATTAACATCGCAACATTTGCTGACTATAGCTTAAGTGCTAAAGCACCCTGGTGACAGCACATGCGTCATGTCATCCCAAAGAACGCTTGAAACACACCACGTATTCATGAACAATCTATATTCGAATTAAATCATTAACCCTGAACATTGCTTGTTGAAGGTTCATCATCATTTTGAATGTTGGATTTTATTGAATATTTGTTTGCTATGAGAGACCTCTATGGTCATCATTTATTGAAAATGACCGCTGATGTGGCCCGGTCGCTGAAGGCACCCAATGCACTGTAGTTTTGTCCGCCTTAGTAGTGCAAGAAACCTTTGATCGTGGACTAACTTTGTGGTTGGAATCTTAGATTCGACATGATTATGTTTCATAAACATGATATAATCTCTATTAGAAACGTGGGGGCACGGGTGGCCTATTCGTGTAAGGCGCCGCGATTCGCTGTGCAGAGTTGCGTCTCTTGGGCACGCCAGAAACCTTTGATTGTGGGTTCGAATCCCGGTTCGCCACGATTATGTTTCTAGGTTTGTCAGTGACATACCCGGGTTGGTGGGTTTCACCAAAGTGGCATCACTTTGACCTTTTCTCAAGATTCTCCTGATTATGGCCTGAGTATGTCAGCGCAATACTTGTGCTGGTGGCTTACACTAAAGTAGAAAACGTCTGACCTCCATCTTTCGGAGTTTTCCTTTCACCCACTCTCTCACATGGTTTTGTCGAAGTAGTTCATCCTAATATATTACAAGAGTTTATATCCACGCTCAACCATGACCAATCTGTCCATCGGTTCCTTTAAGGACATGGTAAACACAGTGGTCTGAGGCATCGCATTTCGCTGTGTAGATTCCGTTACCCGTGCAGGGATCCTTTGACAAGATTCGTCTCGAATATGATCTTTCGCCCACAGCAGTATCCTTGCTAGTTGGTTTCGCCTAAGTCGAGAACGTCTATGACCCGCTTGGGTTTGGGATTTTCTGTGACATTAAGACAAGACATGATACACCTGGAATATGTTCAACTCACTGACAACGAGTTCATTCATTGTATTCATTATTCAATTTGACGGTTATCGACTGTGTGTTCCACTAGAACATCCGCGTCAGCTCTAAGTTCGTGAGGGATTCTGGTTTAAAGTCTCCTCAGTATTTCAGTTATATCACTGTGTGTCCGCCTGTGGGATTCGAACCCACGATTGTAGGTTTCTGGCATAGTAGGAGCAGCACTTAACAGCGAATTGCAACGCTTTCAACGACTGGTCTTTTCAGGAATTGAAAATTAGAGTTGCGATTTCACCGAGATGAAATTTAGTGTGGGGAATATTACCATTGATCTTTTCTGGTGTCATGCTAACATCTTACAGCACATGGTACACGTCAAACTGGTTCATTTAACGTCAAAACAACATCAATTTGTTGTAGCCATTTTTATATAATTATTAAGTTGATGTCTACAAAGGTTGCATTTAGAACTTACAGAACACTACAATAAAGAAAAATGCCGAATATTAAAAGAAAACAGTTGAGTGGTATACATGATATGATGTGACCCTATTTAATTTACAGAAATGAAAACAGTAAATTAATAATTATTAGTTGTAATATCAACCGATGTATGACTTATAAGCTTCGAGATATCATGTTTTGGATATGGCCGCGTTCGAGATACGAGTAGGTGTCTAAATAAAACTTTAATAATGTTCTCCAAGGCATTTTACAATACGCGGAACATGATATCTCTTGGCACCTTAACCGTGTGGTTCATGAAACTTTGAGGTAGGGAAGTTGAATGTATGTATCGTGCCACATACCAGTAGTTTACGTAGTCAACAGTTTAAAATGTCAACAGAGAAAGACACTTCACAAAAGTTGCTGTGAACATTGATATTCAAATATTTTCTGCATATATAAATAAAGAGTTACACTGAAAATCCACATTACATATTTTGAAAGCATACATGAGCATGGTCATGAAAAGGGAAATTAAAATATAAAAAAAAAAATATCCAATTGAAATACATTTGGTACAAAAATGGTCGAATAATGAAAATTAATATATTTTTCAATATGGCTGCTCTAGCGGAAAATTGGATTCGAACCTCTTTAAAATACATTAGGGTAACATCATCGGTAGGTATAATCATGTTAAGTATAAGTGTTGGAATATTAACTAAAGGGGATTTCAGCATAACTCTAAATCAATATGACAGTGTTCGAAGTTAAAGGGGCGGTGGGGTAGCCCAGTGGTTAAAGCGTCACGCCGAAGCGAGTGAGTTAGTTGGGTTTAACGCCGCTTTTAACAGTTTTCCAGTTATATCACGGCGTGTCAGCCTAATGTGGGAGGAAAGCCCGAAGTGATGCAGGTCTCAGGCGTTTACCACTTCGGTGAAACCCATGAGTATGGTGCTGACAAACTTAGAAACATAATCGGGACGAACCGGGATTCGAACCCACAATCATAGGTTACTGGCATGCCCAAGGGACACAACTCTGCACAGCGAATCGCGGCGCCTTAGACGACTGGGCCACCCGTGCCCCCGTCACACCGAAGACCCTGGTTCGATTCTCCACATGGGTACAATGATTGAAGCCCATTTTATGGTAGTGATGTTAGTGAGTATTGCTAAAAGCGGTGAAAACAATACTCATTCACTACTCACTCGAAGTAAAAGGACTAATATATGTAATGATGACATTTATGCTTTGCCTAGTGTTACAAAAGGAACTTTACAGAAAACGGTTTTGGAATAAACTTAACTTAAATTCGATATACAATGAAGTAGCATTTGCATTCAAGATGAGTTATTTGTGGCGAAATTTACACTTTACCTGGTGTTGCCCAAGGAATTTTACAGAACATGGCAATATGGCAGTGGTACCTTCCTTCACCGTCACGTTGACCATTGGAACATCAAAGCTTGGCTCCAGCTCCACACCTGCAAACAGTTAGGTAATATGATGATAGATGAAGAACGGAACGAACATGACAAACATAATTTCGCCGTGCCACACCTATCACCGTCTTATCAGTGATTTAATAAAGCCAGGAACGATTTTCAAAGTCAGGTGAAATATCTTCATCTCCGAGATACCTTCAACCAGATGGTTAAAGTACCCAGGTGTTTCCGTGTCAGCCTCCCTGACTCTTCGCGGTGCACAGTACCATGTAAGATGCTGCGGGCTGTATTTATTTATGGAAGATGCATGTGCATTCCATCATGTCTAATTTAATAAACCTTATCTCTCTGTAACATGAATTTACGTCCAGATACAGTGTACTGATACACGTATGCTAAAGCACCGTTAGAATTCCACTCGACGTGTGACACACTCGTGCGAAAAAAATCCTGTTCGTCTGAAATGTTTTATGTCAGCGTTTATGTACATATTTTAAACTGTCGGGTAAACGTATGCATTTGCAAATTGGAATTGTCCAAGACATTACAAACGTTATGAAACAAGGATGAAAACAGTCGCCGAAACACTGCCAACATCGAAAAAGATTTCTTTTTTGTTTCAGGTTAAGCCAGTATTAAACATGGGTGTATTCTTTCTTTTCCCTTGCAGTTTAGTTTAATGTTTAACGACACATTCAGCAATGTTCCAGCTATAAGGCGGCGGTCTGTAAATAATCGTGTCTGGACCAGACAATCCATTGAGCACTGATCTACGCAGTTAGGAAACGATGCCATGCATCAACCAAGTCAGTCCTGACCTTCCGATCCCGTTAGTCGCCTCTCATGACAAGCATAGTCGCCTTTTACGGTAAGTATGGGTTACTGAAGACATATTTTACCCCGGATCCTCACGCGTAGGCAGCTTTGTGAAGAGATCAGATGATATGAATTTAGAGAATACCAAATGAATTACGAGAAATTACAGATTATCTGTCCTCAGTGAAGTAACTTTGTATGTTTCATCAGGAATTAACAGATAATACATAATTCTATATTTCGTGTAGGCTATTCTTTTTTATCCACAAGAGTGAGTGAGTGAGTTTGGTTTAACGCCGCTTTTAACAGTATTCCAGTCATATCACGGCGTGTCAGCTTAATGTGGGAGGAAAGCCCGAAGTGATGCAGGTCTCAGACGTTTACCACTTCGGTGAAACCCACGAGCACGGGTATGGTACTGACAAACCTAGAAACATAATCGGGGCGAACCGGGATTCAAACTGGCGTGCCAAAGGGACTCAACTCTGCACAGCTAATCGCAGCGCCTTAGCCGACTGGGCCACCCGTGCCCCCTTATCAACAAGACTTTTCTGATCTCAATTTGAGACATCATTCAGGTAGTCCATTGTTAGAAATGTCACATAGTTGTTTTTGTTTTCAATCAATGGACTAGAGGCGGAGGGGTAGCCTGGTGGTTAAAGCGTTCACTGTAACTCCGAAGACCCGGGTTCGATTCCCTTCATAGGTACAGTGTGTGTAGACCATTTCAGGACCCACTTGCACAAAGCGATCTTAGCGCTACGACTATTGTAAGCCTATGTTGAAGTATGGGAGTTACGATCATCTTAGCGCCAAGATCGCTTTGTGCAAGTGGTCCCTGGTGTCCACCGCCGTGATATTGCTGGAATATTGCCAAAAGCGGCCTAAAACCACACAAACTGACTCAATATTCCATGGACTACGTCAACATTAAATGTTTCATATTATGATACGTTTTTTATGCCTTCTCAAACAATGGAAACAATCAGCTCAAGCTGATTGGCTATCAGGATTAAACATTTAACAAAAAAATACAATGATCAGTGAAAATAACTGACAATGATTTCACCAATATCTGTACCACATGAGTAATATTTAAAAATAAATTATACTACATTATACCAGTGACCAACAAAATTTACGCCTTCTTTTATGAAAATCATTACTCTACGTAGAGTAACTTTGTGTTAAAGTACATCTATTACAAAGTATGTTTTTTGTATAAAAAAACAATCGCGAAATACATTGCCCAGATTATAACTCCTTGCATAAACAACCCCTTCTTATACCAAACTACTGTACATGAATCCGACAGATCAACTTGAGTAATATGAAACACTCGGGTGTACTTCTTTTGAGTAATATATATGATAGCAGGCTTTTATTGCAGACTAAAGGGCATATTTGTACAGACCCTGTTGTTTGATAGTTCAAGGAACTGGCCATAACGCTGTTTGATTTAGGACATCCATCGATGGTTTCTAATCGCTGTTCGGATACGTGGCGTTATTAATTAATGCAAATGAGAATCCATGGAGATTGGTGGACAATATCGGCAAGTACCAAGGGCATGGTTACTATTCACAGATAGAAACTGATAATTGTGAAGCGACCCCGAAGAAATGGCATCGGTGAACAAGTGCATCAAGATTTGATTTAGAACATCCTCCGAAGCACAGAAGGTCATACTCGGTTTTATGCTGTGATGCTTTGCTGTAACATCGGATGAATTACATCTCCGCCTGTTCGATCGCATTATGGTGTACAGATAGTTAGGGGAACATAGAACTCATTTCGGAAGCACTGTGTTGTAGCCTGCGTGCGTGCGTTCGTGCGTGCGTGCGTGCGTGCGTGCGTGCGTGTATGTGTGTTAGTTTAAACCAGCCAGCCATACTGTTGTAGGGCATCAACTCTGCACATCCATCCTGAGCGGTCGGGTAGCCTAGTGGTTAAAGCGTTCGCTCGTCACGCCGAAGGCCCGGGTTCGATTCCCGACATGGGTACAATGTGTGAAGCTCATTTCTGGTGTCCCTCGCCGTGATATTGCTGGATTATTGCTAAAAGCGGCGTAAAACAACATTCACTCACTCAATGCACACCCATAACCCCCCACGAGGTATGACGAGGCCAGGAGATCGAACCACCGACATTCTCGATCTCCGGGCAAACGCTCGACCCACTAGACTATGAATGAGGTCCAAACAATTGCAATGCATATTCTACTACATAAGCCCAGACAAGCCTCCGATGTCTTAGTTATTCCGCAACGATTCTCAGCGTGTTTACGTTTTTATCTAAAAGAGACTCTTGATCCTAACCTTCTTAGTCACATTGCACACCATCATCTGAAACGGGGGATTTATGTGTGTGATAGAGGGGATATCTGTTACAGATCATCACGTCGGGCCCACTCCAGTAGTATTAAAATACATTATGTTGCTTAGTGAGTAAGTGAGTTTGTTTCAGTAAAGAGGCCACCGGCCCATTATACAATATGGATACAGTGGATTACAACAATAGCAGTGATATATGTGATATACACAGAGAAACAATTGAATTATAGCACACATTTGAAAAACTGTTGTCGTTTGTTAAAAGCAAGAAAAATATATTTAGCTAATTTATTATTATGTTGCTTAGTGACAAACGAGTATTGGCATGCCATGTATCGTGCGTTACAGAGTATATGAAATTAACACTTTTTACTGCTTTAGCCCCTGGATGTCAGTGATACAACAGGGATAAATGAGAAAACATGTAACTATATACGTGCGTGAAATATTATAGATACGTGCATGTTTTTGTTTTAAGGGTTTTGTATAATGAGTGAGTGAGTGAGTTTGGTTTTACGCCGCTTTTAGCAATATTCCAGAAATATCACGGCGGGGGACACCAGAAATGGGCTTCACACATTGTACCATGTGGGAAATCGAACCCGGGTCTTCAGCGTGACGAGCGAACGCTTTAACCACTAGGCTACCCCACCGCCCCTTGTATAATGAGAGACATCTGGGAACACTTGTCAGTGTGAAAAATTATATTTCGAAAATAGTACAGATACATTGACAAGTTACATACCAGTTTCATCAACCTCGTTAATGTTATTGGACGTCATGAAAACAACAAGTGCACATGTGGGTTTTAAGTGTGTGAACGCAGCGAAAGAACAAATGCGCAAACCCCTATCTGAATTATAAAAAATATCTGTTAAAAGCATTTGACGATTCCGACAAAGCATGTGTTTCTAAATAACGATCGAATATTCGCGAAAATGTGAGCGTATACCGCCCCACCGGTGAACCCCATGTTAAAACATTATAATGTCCCACAAACCAATACAACTGGAGATTTTCAAACATTTTAACTTAAAAATACGTCATGTTTCGCATACTTTACACTGAAGCCTTACGAACCGAACTCTTGCTATCTGCAGTAGTCATCAGAAGCAGTCCTTCAAGTGGCTGTAACACTTAGCTGCCAGGGTTAGGGTTAGGGTTAGGGTTATGCTAGATATCCTAATTATGATCCTTGGTCTGTCAGCACAGGGTCGTGTTCGTCGGTTTAACCAAACAACTGAGACCTGCGTGATCTTTCGCTCTCCTTCCTTGTTAAACATGACGTTGACAATGCTGAATTTGAAGAGGACATTTCGAAATTTGACGTTCAGTGACCAAAATGATGTCCGATGCAATTCCCTATTTGGACTTATACTATATGTGTTTTCAGGTGAACAAGTGACTTGCCTTTGCGTGTGTTTGTGACAGGTGCCACCAGTGGGGCAGGATGCACTAAACCTTCTCGCGAACACTTGGTATCATGCTTATGATTTTGTCGGAATCGTACAACGGCCTCTTATGATTGATTATCAAAATGGTTTTGTCAGCTTTGGCTGGTGACTTAGTACTAGGGTAAAGTAAATGTGGCATATGGCAGCAAATTGAATAGACTAAATGTTCGCTGTCTTGGATTCTATATGGAGAAGTCACAGACAAATCAGTCTCGAAAATGTTTGGACATTTCATACATCGTTGTGTTCTACCCCTATATATGTACCACTCACATATTTATAAAATCTCCAGACAAACGAGATTGTCATAAAACATGTTTGCATAAACAAAACCCCATTTCAAAATATCTAAGTAAAATTACACATGATTTAGAAAATGACACCAGTATCAAGACACACGAAATACATCCTGTGTTATAACAAATGCGGTTTCTTT